CATATATTCTAGTCATCTGATTGGCTTCAGCCAGAACAAATCCTGGCGTATGTATCAATAGGTCCACAAGCTAGTCAGTAGCTCAAGGTAAGCCGTATGCTTCTGGGGCGCTCACTCAACGATAAAACATATGCGTGTTGATCCTAGATCGCGTAAATGGAGGCAAGTGCTCTATAGCCACTTTTGCATTAATATAAATGGGTACGTCATGTCGCTAGATGATAAACCTTCTCTGTCGTAATGCAACGTCCGCCATTTCTTCAAGGTTTTCCGAACAACATTCTTAAAACACAAAAAGTACGACAATTTCGCTTGCGCAATGTCCATATCATTCTTCGGCATCGCTTCTCAATATAACGCGCAAAAATGTGTGCAGTGGCTTATGCTGCAGACACGCCTTCCGTATCTCGAAAATATCACAGTATTGAATGGATGTTCTCGGTCGGATTGAGCACCTAGAATACGATACACGCAAGACAGGGTTCTAAGTCTTAGCCTAAATACATACGTCTTCTTTCGACTAAATGTATTTGCTTGATAAGATCATGTTTTTGCATTAAATCGTTGTATAAAATATGCAATTTACACACAATTGAGTTTGCCGTTGCGGCATTTCACCAGTGACAAACCTAAGCGCGAGCCAAGTTCAAAGCCTTTTGACCTTTCGTATCGTTTTGCACAGAAAGTATCGTGGTCTCGTTTTATTATGTGCCTCATACTTGGCGTCTACCCGTAAAATATGCAGAACGTAAGCTACTTTCGTGTCCTGGGACGTTTGGAATTTATGCTCGGGCTATATTTTCGTTTATAAAATTAGAAACGATGTCGATACGTCGCGACATGTTGTGGATAGTATAGCAGGCATGTGGACGGGTCAAGGCGATTGAAATGAAGTTACGAGAGAATTACATGGTGAAGCGCAACGCGAGTGAGCACTAACAATTACATGGTGTACGCTGGTGGAAAGTGTTTGTATGAGTGGGGTACAAGGGACGCCGGAAATGGCTGAACTTGATTGCTGCACATATGTCCCTCTATCTATCGATTTAATTGAGCCATCCTTTTTTTTCGATACCTAACTCGGCTAGTATTACAAACAACAAAGTATACGATGCATCAATGTCATTTAAATGTTTTTTATGAGAATAATGATATCTAGATCAATGGAATGGCATCCTTGTACATTTAACATTATACAAAGGTTGTCGTTAGTCTACATGGATTTGACGGAGATGTAAAGAAATCAGTGTATTACTTTACTCATTTAATTGCAGGCCGCGTGCATAAAGATCGTCAATTTTGCAGCGTGTGCATCCATGACGTGCGAGTCAAAGTGCGGCTCTAGGCACCATCAACTCATTCCTCATTCTCCCTACCCCTTTCGCCTCTTTTCTCTCCCACATCGGTTTGATGAGTCGAGCGGAGGCCGCATTGCTATAGAACTTTAGCAGATCTTTTTCCGCTTCCTCGTCGAAATTGTGTTTCGCCCGGTATAGGACAATATATTTGTGCATCAGGCCGAATGTCTGATCATAGCCAAACCTTCTGTTTTTTTTGTGATGCTCCATGAGCGATAGTAATTCATCGCGACGACCAAGCGGCAGTATCTCGAATACATCTTGCGGAGTCAACCCCTTCCTTAGCCACTGCGGAAACAGTGTTTTCTCAACAAAGAGAGGAAACCTGTCAGTTACAGCATCTTGCAAGCGGTCGGCGTGAATCTCCATGCCAGGCACCCTACGAAGTAAGGCAGTAGCCTCTACCAGATCTTCGAGCTGAACACGGGGAAGAAGCTCGCCATCAATCGTCTTTGCCTTGGTCATGTACTTGACGACATCATCATAAATTTGATATGGTTGCCGGGGTTTGATGACATCCTCAAGCAGCTTCACGAACTCATTCATCTTGATTACCTTCCCGTCCACGACAAGCGTTTTCGTTGCACCGAGCTTGCCGATATTGTCAGCGAGCACTCTAGAAGAATCACTCTTCAAGATGTTGCTGGCCGACCTGAAGAGTGTAGCTCTCTTATTTAGCCCCAAGATGTCGCTGGTCGACCTAAGAAGTGTGGCCCTCTTTTTTAGCCCCAAGATCTTGCTGGTCGACCTAAGGAGTGTGCCCCCCCTAGTCAGCATCGGCGTTCCCCTATCCTCAATAGGCGAGTCTTTGTCTTCGGTCGTGCGTGCAGCGTGCTCGTGTAGCTTCCCAAACTTTGGTGCGACGACTATCGTCTCGTTCGGGCGAGGAGAAGCAGAGGGTGTGAGGCGAGCAGCAACGTAGGTCAAATTACCTTCAGTGGTTGCAGATCCAGCAGTTCCTGCAGCAACGACCAACAAAACGGTGAGCACACAACTGAGCAGACGCATGTTTTCACTCACTCGCTGCCACCCAATCGCGAAATGGGAGACGTACGCTGCATTCTTTATGGCCGGTAATTATTGCTGATACACCGGGACTATTCCGGTCAATTTCCGTTGAATTCACGAAAACTAGTCCGTACTTCCTCTGAGCGTACATGATGGGCTTCCCCAAGAACAGCTGTCATCTTCAACACTGATGCTCAGTATTGCTCGCTTGTCACACGTACATAGCTGATACATGATTCGAGCCTGAGCTAATACCGTGATGTCCTGCGAATGCACAAACCCAAATTTGCTTAAAAGCTTCAAGTGGAAAGATCAAAAAGAGCAAAATAGTACCGATAGGCATTGATGGCTAAGCCTTTCTTTTACTGCGACACGGTCACCATCCGAGCTCATAATACAGTAGAACCCCTCTAAGCTAATTTTTTATTTGCTAATAACCGCTTGTAGTTGTCAAACGTCTCCACCGACGTTGGACAAAAGAGGTAGACCACGTGACTACTCAACCCCCTTACCCAATACCCTCTACTACCTCATACTAGTTTCTCCACCAAATCATATTAGGAACGAAGGGCTCTACTGTTGCAAGCATATCGAGATACAACAGACAGCCTACAAGCTCCAGACCAGATAGAGGGCGGTGGCTTGAAGAGGCAATGTACACGGCTACAAGGTCCAAAAGAGAGTGCTGCAATGTCCACACATGCACCAAGGAAATGTTTTTGCTAAACACCCTTTATCTATCGTCAATGCGAAAGCACTGGAAATATGGACTTCTTTGAATTGAGCATCTCATTTCAGCCGAAAATGCTCTCGCGATTCCCACAGGTGTATATCTTCTAAGCTGACAGCGAGTGTCCCACGGAAGCAGGCGCCTTTTCCGAGCACAATAGTGCGGGCGCGATTGTCTCTGTTTACAGAAGATGTCCAGACCAGACGGCTTCCTTCTATGCGACTTGCGCACGCACCTGCGCGCTGACCCGTCAATCACGACTCGATTACATCGACTTTCTGACTCCCACTGGAACCCAAAAAAGAGAGCGCAAAGGTCATCAGCTGAGAAGCACGCGCTTTGTATGCCCGAAGGCGGTACAAAAAGCCTGCGTAGAGTCCTCCCGGTCTGAACATCGCGCAGGCTCTATCGAGGCATACACGGCTGCGGGTGTGCGTGTGGTCACATCCTATGATTAAGAACGTAGACAAACGTACCTAACACGCGCAACGCAATGGGTGCATAAGCCTGTGCTGGATCAAAGGCGGTGTTGCCAGCAAGACAAAGTGACGAAGAGTGTAACTATACCAAAACGAAACGTCCATGTGTCGATGTCATTGCCTAGTGGATCGAACTAACATGCACAACGTCTACTAGGCCACCCGTATCAAATGCGATGAAGCAATGGGACCAGACGATCAGAGGCTCCGCAAATCTAGTCTGAATGTCCGACACTGTCAAAACGATTTACAACGACACGTACCATGCGGAGCCGGTCTTATTTACACATCACACATGCCTAGCGCAGGACGCAGACGACACTCCACCGACCGCCTTTGTCAGCATTGTTTGCCAGCTTTGTACCTTGCGCAAATCAAGAAGATGTTGACGCTGCTCTTGGACTCGGCCGTGTCTTTTCCGCGGAAAGGGTCCTGCGCGAGTCAATGGGCAAAGAACGCGGTACCTTTTGCCGCTTTGTGGTTGCGTAGATCATACCGCCCAGAGTCTCGACCTCGGCGCGGCTGCGTTCGCTGACGTTACATAGACAATCAGGCTCTTGTGACGCACAGCGAACAGTGCTCGAACGATCGACGAACAAATCTCGTAATGTTGTCGTCTGCCGTCGATGCGCCAGGTCTCGCCTCCCGCCCGTTTTGGAGTCGTGCCGACCACTTTATTTGCGCCTATGGTTCCAGGTAAACGGAGTAGTAGGTCAACGAGTATTGCTTTAATCACAGCTGTGGTGGTATTCGATGCGATCGAAAGAGCAGCTTCGTCGTCCACGCAGTTAGCTAGTGACTGTGTCGGGACTGTGGTATGACTAGTTCTCGATTCGAGTTTACCTGCAGCAAGCAAGAGGTGGCATGTCTAGCTCAGCAAACGGTTGTGCTCCCATACAACATCGAGCACGGCTGACATTGTCGACAAAGTTTCCTTTAGTAGGCGTAAACACCTGAGCTTCAACACAATGAACCCCCGACAACAGGCACTGAGACCGTCTGAGGAATGAAAGACAGCAATGAGGCGAGGACTTGTTTGCACGGAACTTAGTCGAGTCTGCAGCACCCGATGGAGACGAGGGAAACCGCCACTAGCGTTTTGAACTGGTTGGCACTGAAGTCCACTGCTGCCCAACTGGCAGCCAGACGAAGTTCGTCACGCTTTCGATTGCCATCGATTGTAGTGCATGTTATCGGCAGCGTCGGCGCTTTTGGCGACGTAATTTGTCATTACTTCCCAATGCAGTCATGCTTCCGTGCAGCTCGAAGCCGTGCAGAAGGAGAAAAGTCACGGCGCAAATGCCGCTACAACAGTTCCTCGACATCCCTTCATGACCGCGTTGTCCGAAATGCGTCGCCATCACAAGATCTCGATCCCCCACATATCGTCAAGTTCAGTTCCCTCTACCAGACCACTCTCACCCCATGCGAGCGGTGGCCCGTACGGCAGGGATCGAAACGCAACTGAAAAAGGGGTTCCTGCACGTTGAGCAGCTACAGCAACTGTCACATCGGTACAGCGAGCAGACTTGTCTTGTATGGGTACAACGTTTTCTAGCGTCAGATGGCGAGAAGTTGGACGTCGAGCTCCGGAAGCGACGAGAGCCGCAACCGAGCAGGCTGGAGCTGATGATGATCCTAATCGTCGAGGCCGAACGAGCAGAGAAGAACGAATTCGTCGACAAGCACAAGGACGCGCTTCGAGGCTGAAATGAGGGAACCAAAGAGGTCAAAGCGTCGCATGTTGCACGTCCGAGAGCCAGTCGACTCGTCGTCAAACGACACCACCGGGACGCGTCGTTTGCATTCCAATGGAAGCAAGTCCAGCTGCTCTGGCCAAGCATGTGGTCAAGCCATACATCGCAAAACAACCGTTTTCGAGCGAGAGCAACAGTCTACGACTCTCCTGGAAGACGCGTACAGCATCGTCTCTCTGGCCTCCAGAGGCACAGGCACGCGGTCTGAACTGCGAACATCCATCTGCGCCAATGCAGAGGGGCCGGACTAAACTTGCCACCGGCACTCAGCACCCCCATGGTCCTTGGTCTGATGACACGCTGCTTCACACAGGTCGGCGCGCTTTGTGTCAAGCCACATCCACGACAAAATGGTTATGCCATAGCATCTCCATGGCGGCAGACACTTCGACACCTCTATCACACCTCTTCGATTGCGTGACGCGCACCAATGACGTGGCCTCTTGTACTTCCTGCAAACAAGCGTAATCTCCACGACGGCAGACACGACCACCACTGCCCTACCACGGACACACCACGGAACTTGCTTGGCTTTGATCATGGCGCTGCTTGTGTGTGGGTGTGTGGCTGTGGCTGTGGCAACGACGAGGCCGATACGAAGCTTCGCGCAGGATCGGGTTGTTCTCCATCTCACGGCTGCCCAAGCAGACGACGACGACGGGCCTGTTGTCGTTGTTGTAACCAGCTGTCGTAGTGGATCCGCTCTGCTCGAGACTTCCTCGCACCGCAGTCTCTCGCTCTCTGGCCCACTCGTTGTCGACCGCGTCGCGTAAGTACGTCGCAACTCGCACTCTCATCGGTTGCGTCGTCACGAACGTCTGCTTTCGTTTGCCGTCACGACTCGTCAGCTGTCTGATGAACGGCTTCTGCTTTGATTCCCATAAATCACTTCTCCGACGACGATATGGGTATTCGCGAGACCACTGCGAGTCCCGCTGACGGCCCATGCAGGGAACAAGTCCACGAGCAGTAATGGCGACACTCACTCGAGATGGAGCACCCCGTTCGTGTCACCACCTATCGACTCTGTGCGTGATCGTCGCCAACATTGTAGTCGTCAGAGGCGGCGCTGTTGCCATCGACTGTCATTGAAGAGCTTATGCCCGTTCGCCTGCCGCCACTTCGTTCTGCCAGCGTGTCACTGTCACTGCTCTTTGCGTAGCAAGACAGACGACGATACGGCGATGGCGGTAGCTCACAGACGACACCAACAACGACATGGACATGGTAAGTGCGATATCGAAAGCCTCGCGTAGCATCGTCTGCCGAGGGTCGTGACTTAGTCCGTGGGAACGACGTCTTCTAAACGCCAAGAACGCAGCGAGGATGACGGGAGCAGAGCCATTTGAGCTGTAACGAGACAGAAATGGCTGCAGGTGGGGAGCAGAGCAGATAAAGCGTTTGCTGAAGTCACGAAGCGTGAGACGTGTAGCAACGAGTGTGTCTGTCGCGCGACACTGCTCGAAAGTGACACCAGATGAACGTGCTGCGGTATTCAGGTGCTGTATGGGTGATTGACCTCTTCAACATACTTCATATCTGTGGCATGAAGCATGTCAAAGCGGTCGGCTACCCACGAACAGCAATGCTAGTGCAGAGACGCGAAGCGGAACCGGGATGACACAGCAAGGCACCTGCAACTGGCTCCTCACCTGTTCGAGAAGGCCGATGTGGAGAATCACAGCTCTGCGTGGCAGTCGAGACGATGGGTACGGCAGCGGCATGGGCGACGAAGCTGATGGCTGTGGAGCATTGATTGTGAACTCTAAAGAGACGGCGGTGATGTATTGTGGAGCAAGTACGTGCGGCGCAGCTATATGGGTACGCTCGAGTCCTGTGGGACGGATGTGATCGGACAGACGGTCGAGGCGCTAGTGGTGTGCAGTAGGCTGTATAAGGCCTTTCGCATCGCTCGTATTGGGGACCCGGGAAGAAGCAGACAAGTTGTGACGCCAAGAAGCGCGTGTTGCTTCCAATCGTCTGCAAGATGAAGACATGTTTTCTTGCTGCACAACTTGTCGCAGAAAAAGCAGCAGTTAACGCTGGATGGACATGGCGACGCAGCGATGTACATCTTATGGCTGAGTGCCACGACGACCGTATTGAACTCCAGAGCCTCGTATCGATCGGGTGCTCTAGCGTCGCACAAAGTTGCACGGATACTTTTCTTTTCGGGTGGGGTCTATACTGCAGCGACGCTGTCATTGATTGTTTTGCCGTACGAGTGCTTGCCGTCACTGACTCTGATGGACACGGGGCGGCATTGGCCAGCGATGCCAACATGTTTGTTTCGAATGCGCATTACGTGCGCGCATGCTTTGACTGGGTATGTGCCACACCGCACTTCTCCCCGATCCGAGTTCTTGGCGAGGGCAGATGGTGATGGGCCATGTCTCACGTGTGTCACACGCAAAGCCCGGCGCTTGAATATCGATTGGTCTGCAGGCGCTACATATATCGCTTCGAGTGTTGTCACCCCTATATGACCGACTGCGTTCGAACTGGCAATTGCCGTAGCTTCTCGTTCTATCCTTTCACGCTGTCAAGCGTTTGTTCATCGTCGACGCCGTATGGATCCATGAGCATGTTTGCTGAGTACGTTCCGTCGCACCTTCTCGCATGCAGCATTGTATAAGATATTGGCGACGACGTATCTTCTCGAGGTGCAGTAAAGGACCACCTGAGTGTGCGTTGACTGGAGATCCTTGCGCACCTGCGGGTCGTCAACCTCTGGTGGGGCTGCGCAGTATCCGCGCCATCCTCCGATCCTGTCGGATAATATTTGGCTTTCCGCCGGCCTTGTTGTTGTTGAGTCAGCGGCCAAAGCCAGCCGCAATCGGACAGCAAATATGCACTTCTTCATGGACTCGCATCCGTATTCATAGACATCGATGGGTGAGCTCTGCAATCCGTCCTAGTGTTTTTGCACGCGCTACTGTCCCGAGGAGTGCCGTGGCGACTGTCCGCCGAACGAGGAAGAGAAAGGTAAGATCAATGTTAGGAGTTCCCGCTTGTGAAAGCGCGATGGACTGAGCGAGCGTACGGTAGTCGATGACACGTTGATGTGGTGCATTCGCCGATCGCTGTACTCGCTGGAACAATAGCAAGACTCCGTACTGCGGTGTACTGAAGTTATTGTCACTGTCAAACCCAGTAGCAAAGACGCTTTCGCAATGGAAGTTTGTTGGACGGATGTGCAATAGATGTGCTGCCTTAACCCGTTCAGCGAGACTTTCGCGAGACTTTCGGTAGAAACGACAGCGTTAAGACAAAATCATTGTTTGTCACTACGTGGTGTGATGACTTATAGAGCCATATAATACGCAGACCGCCGTTCGGGTCTTTTTTTCGGTACAGCCGAAAATGTACTCATGTTGCTGAAATGCAGTCATTCACGAAAATGAACGTTGCCACTGTTTGATGAAGAATCACCACGAGTCGAATGATGTGCGGCTTACTACAAATACAATTACAAACGTACCTTCATGAGTAGCTATATGTTCGTGACGACATGATATATCATCTTACCACTACGAACAGCTTCTCAATGTAACGACTAAATATCTTTCATTAGCACTGCGTATTTGGTTCCGCATGCATTCATGTGACCACCTACTATTGGACATACCTAATTTCGTCATATTCCACTGTCATGCTTTAATTATGTTCTTTTTTTGTTGTCTCATGCTGCCTCGAAACGTATTTGTCATTTTTAGAGCATTGAGTCATCGCCATTGCATCGCAGTGCTGATACGGGGCACGCTCTTGCTCAGATAACTGAGCAAGGCCTTGTATTGATAACATTACAGGGTGCGTACGCCCGACGTCACGTACACGTGGCGTGAGGAAGCGCGACCAAGACAATACAGAACCCAAAACTCTGTCTTAAGGAAAAAGTAGAACTGTTATTATATATAGTTATTTTCTTACTGAATCATCTTTCGTCTCAATCTAACTATATTGAACTACTGTCTCATAGAAGGGTCTTCTTTCCACCATTTATTGCGCGCGTCCAGCAGCAATTTGTGGTTCACTTAGTTGATGTACCGTGTACATCAACTATGTAATGGAACCCTCCTCGGATATTACCCCTACAGGTAATAATCTGACAACATCACTTTTCTTTTGTGATGTTGATTGAATGTTATCAAAAAAGATAAATTTCAAAATTGGTACTTATGTACCGATTTTTATGTAACGGCTCACCCCGTATCAAGTTCCGTCTCATTTAAAAAAATGTACAGCTATATCGACACGACGACGGGAACCTCATCCAACAAAGTTTGATGTCAGATCTGGCTCTAGGGATAGAAATTAACATGTCCTTAAAAAAGATGAAAAGATTTATGTAAGGCCACGCTTGGAGCGTAAATGCATTATTTCCTTCTGGCATACTAGATGCCTAGGGTCTCAAAACTATCGGTAATTACTGTATGGTAAACGAGAAATAATAAATACAATGTACGTTGCTCTATTTAACATTGCAGGAAACCATGCAAAAACTCGCATAGGGTACATTAGTGATGCAACTTTACGCATTTAAAATAGTTTTATGCTATATTTATCTTTATATTAACGTGTCGATCAGTATATGTGATTGCCTGATGCACCTTTTCAAATTCGAGAAAACAGAATCTTTGCTTATGACGGATCCTGTAAAATATTACGCGAATCAACGGCATTCTTATTCATAGTAGGTGCAATACGTGAATTTTGCTACTTGAATTACGATAGGAGCATTTTTATGCTTCCATGACATAATTAAGCTGTCAATGCTTTGGGTTATTAGCATACGTTATAGGGTTATAATCTTATAAATGTTATTGTAAAAATTCATGTATGAAGTGCGGGGTTATTTGGAACAGCAATTTATTTGTCTGAAAACGCCACACTAGACACTACCTATCGATTGCCGGCAACTATATAGTGCATGTATCGAATATCGAAGACACC